TCCCCCTGGGAGCCTCGCACTGCTATGGTGAAGTGCTTCTGCCTACCTGACAGCAGCCAGAGTGGTGGTGGCATAGAGTTGTGCATCCCACTGCTGCCAGGTGGGTAGGGGGCACACAGCTGGCATGGGCTCCTGAGGGAAAGGCTGTGCCAGCTGTGGGCGGAAGTAAGCATGTGTCCCACCTTTCCAGTTTAAAAAGGTGCTCACCAGGGTGAGAGCACTCTGGGACTCAGGGGCAGCCTCCCAACTGATATCCAAAGAACATCAAAGCATGGCAGGAGAGATAAACAGGGGAGGTTATATAGAGGACCAGGAGTGTGAATAGGACTAGGGTGGGCCCCAGGGGGTGTCACAGCTGCCCCAGAGCTCATCCTGTAACACGTGGTCCTCTTAGCCATAAAACCGAGTCATAAACAGGGATCCTAGTATTCTCTGATTTTAAAAATCCTCAGTTTTCAGATTTAAAAAAATAACACAAAATCCACATTGTTCCTATGTCTATTTTAGTGGTGTTTTATTTTAATTGTGGAAAAATGTAGATTTTGGGTTACTTTTTTAAATCCAAAAATTGGGGATTTCTTTTTTTAAATCAGAGAAAACCAGGATTCCTCGTCATACAAAAGCAAGAAGGAGGAGGAGAAAGATGTACCCTGATTTAGCATTAACAGTTTTTCAATGACTTGAGCAGAGTTAACAGAATTGGGTGTAAATGCACAAGTCTGTTTACATGCAGTGGAATAGAATCTGGACCTTTAATCTCCAGAAATTAAAAGCAGTAAAATTCATAGGGCTTGATTCTGCTATATTTCTTCCTAGTTAATAGTAAATTATTTGAAGAATAATCCCACTAACTTCAGTAGAACTATTTATAGAGTACTGTATTTCACAAGATGAGCAAAGAAGGTAAGAGTGAGGCCCTTAGAATGTGATTGCTGGAAATACACCTTAAGATAGAAATTCAGACCTAGCTCTAAACTGTCCCACAATTGAGGGCAAAATGGTGTTTGGATATAATAACAGGATTGGGGTTCGAGGAGAAGTTGATTCAGGTCCATCTTTAATTACTGTCAGAAATATTCAATTTCTAATATTTGAAATCATTGTTTTTCTTTTGATAATACACTCTGATAGCAAATTTCATGGGCTGTAACTTTCCAAAGACTAGATTTAGTTTTAAAGGAAATGTCTAAAGCTATTATCATCAAAATAGACTTCTTTGATAAGTTAGAGCCCATGAGAAATGAGATTTGATAAATGAATTGTTTGTCAGTGTCCCAGCTGCATATTTACCAGCTGAAACGGGTTTTCTAGAGGAGGATTTTTCTTCTTTCAAGACAGCTGCATTAATTATGCATTAAGAAGCCTGATTTTTCAACTATTACACATCTTAAGTAGCATTTACTCATGGGAGTATCCCTGGTCACTAAAGCACCCAAGGTATATATATCACAGCCAGCAGGAAAACCTACAGGAATTTCTGAGCCGGTTTCCTTGTAATGATCTCTCCATTGTTACATAAGATCAATTGCTCCCACACAGAAACAACCATCAGGACAGCCTCCAGTTGTGGAAGACTGTGCCAAATGTGCACACTGGAGGAAGGCCAAGGATATGAAGGTTATCTGCAGTGGCCCCAAATTCCCCTGTCACGGACTCAAGATTTCTAGAGAATGGGCTCTGAACAAAGAATAATGCCGTCTGGAGCTAAATGATTTTTTCTGAGGATTTTCCATAAAATCTGGGATGTAATCAGAGAAGGAAGTAGATGTGTATCCTCCCTAGACAACCCAATCTTCCTTTCATTCCCCCAAGGTTTTCCCTAGCATGGAGCCCAGATTATGAAAAAGGGCCTCTGCAGAATCTGACAGAGCTGCTATAGGGGCTGAGCCCTCTTTCATACAAGAGGCACTGAAGATTTACATGTACAATTCTAGGGACGCAGTTTGAACCATTATATTTTAAATGTGCTTATAATATTACTACCCTCTATCTACTACCACAATTCAACTGGCATTGATGTTGCTTTTCTTATTACTTGCTGTTGGTTTGTGCATCAGCTAGGATGCTAGAAAAGGGGTGCTTAAGGTATAATCAAGATTTTTTGTAACACAAGATCTCCACATTAGAGATGTGTGAGCTGGGACAGGAGCATTAATAAAGAGCAGAAAGCCCTTTCAACCTCTACCTATTGAGAAGACATTACGAATGTAATTTGTTTATTACCAAGGATTTGTACAAGTGGTGCCAAATTAGATATTCCTCCCACATCCTGATCTGTCTTGGTTTTTCAAACTGATTTTTAGGGATCTTCCAGGAATAAGACTGGGTTAATGATATAGTAATACACTGTACTGCAGTTATTTCAGGGCCCAATCTTGTTCAAATTTAATTCCATTGTAATTTTGCCACACACGTTGATTAAAATGAAAACAAAATCCTAGGCCCTCTAGATCCAAATGCAATGGGCCTCTTGTGTGAGGTGCCAAGCACCCATCAGTTATTGAAATAAGTGATGACTAATGGCAGTCAGTACCTTTTAGGATTAGGCTCTGCTTCTTGTTTGCTTACAAAAAGTTAGCTTTCTTTTCAGGGATAAGCAGACAGAAAACTTTTAAAATTTATACAGAATAGTTTCTTCATTTTATGTAATAATGAGGCCCCCTCAGGCCTTTAATTAGAGGCAGTTTAATATAGAAAGACCACCAAAAAGATTTGCCAATTGTCTGCGCAACAACTATGCCCCAAAATGTTTTATTGGTCCTTTTTGAAGCAGTTAATCACAGCCTAAAAATTCTGCATCTGGCATATCTGGCAAAATAAGTCAAAACTAACAGCTGTTGCTACAATTGTATGTTTATGAAGTAGTTTTAAAGGCAGGATTCAGGTTTTGTTTTCCAGTATTTATGGGCCTCACACATTCAAATAAAACATGATAAAAACTCTGTATTTGCAATTATTTCCCCTCTTTAGAATAATTTAAATCTTATAAAACAAAGAAATGGTACTAGATTGAGTGACTTCTGCATGTCACTAACCTTAGGCCTGAATATCTGCGTTCCTTCATCAAAAATTTCAGTGACTGAGGAGCATGCTGGTTGCACAATGTATGAATCATCTGGCCCATAAGCTGGACACTTCATCTAGTCCAGTACTGGTTTTGACACACTGACAAATAACTCAGGTTAGTCAGACACATATTTGAAACAATTAAGTCAAGTATAACTGTGCTTGGTTTAGAGAGGTTGTCTTAAAATAAAACTTTCTCCTTTTTTTTTTTAATATCAAGTATGAGGTTCCTGTCTAAACAAGAACTCCGGATGTGGACAATTGGCTGAACTGGACCTTAAAGCAGGTATGTGGGGCCCCATTCACAGAGCTCACAAGAAGTTCCAACTATATTAAATAGTCTCATTTAATAAATGAAGACAGCTAGCATGAATAAGGGCAGCAGGTTGTACAGATCCCAATTTCCTGAAAGCAAAGTTATTCAAATAGTATTATCAAAGACCTGCTCAATGGATACTGTATTTGAATATGGCTCGCATAATCAGGTTCATGTTTCTTTAACAATAGTTTAGGTACAATGATACATGTTTAACCATAATATTAGAACAATGTTGTTTACCAGGTTCTCTTTATTTGGACTACATTTTGGAAAAACTGTGAGTTTTAAAAGAGTTAGCAAATAAATATTTAAAATAAAATACTTTTAAAACTGATACCATAAAAACAGGTAATAATTATCAATACCATAAAATAAGTCAGGCTTTACAGCTCTTTCTCTAAAAGTCTTTTAAGTCTATATTATGTTCTGCTTTTATGCCTTTTCTCTTCTTAATAAATAACATAAGAACTCTGGACAACTGGAGCTGGTGATTAAATGTTAATAATGAAATGGCTATGCTAGGAGTCATTTGCATGACAAAAGATGCTTATTTTAGTTTATTAAACTGCATGAAAGCAATGAGATAGCATGAACTCCTAGACAACTGAACACATTAGACAGGTTAAGATGCTCAATAATTTATAAACAAAATTTGAGGCAAACTGTTACAAAAACCCTTACCTTTCTAGTATGATTTTGCTTTACAACATTTTCACAAACCTCGTTTATATTTTCATTTAGTTAGTAATTCCTCAAGCCTCAAAATAGTTTTATTTATAAAACACAAATTCATTATACTGACAAGATGTATTTAAAATAAATGGGAGTGTGTGTGGGCATGGGTGGGTGTCATCAGGTGCACATGCAGACACATACCTAATCCATGCATATGTTTAACTTCCAAATCTCACTCAGGAAGATATGACAAGCACATGATTGAATATTACAGCAAAGAGAACCACATAAATATCTACAGGAACAGATTAATTAGAAACCTAAAAAGATCTAAGAAAACAAACACAAAACAAAAACTTTATACCTTCCCCAAAATAATGCCACAGATCATACTGAATCTGAAAAACTCAGAAATGCTCCACTTATTCATTCCACATACCAAACACCTAATACCCTTTGAACTGTTGTGAATTTAACAAAAGAAAACTTTTGTCTTTAAAAAGGTTTTCTGGGGCTGAAAGTTCTCTATCAATGAAACCCGCTTTTCTATTCAACATGAGCACAAAATAAAGTGCCATTCTTCTCCCATCAACAATCCAAACCCAAACCAGATAGCACCGTTGCCTCTAAGTGTGACAGTTGCTCTTTCTCCTTCTGAAAGTGCAGTAAATGGGAAGGAAGAAATATGTAACCACGGTCCAGTGGAGGTGCATTACCCTCGCAGCCTCTCTGCTTTTCTTGGCACAGCGACTGAGCCTAACCACCTAACCACGTACCTGAGGCTCCTGGGCTGTAAAAATACCAGCGTGACAAGTAAATACAGATTGGCCTTGACATGCAAATGCATAAAGGCTTTCTCACTTCACTTCACCTTCACCCCGGGCAGGTACAGAGTGAGCGCGGCGGGGCCCTGCATCTCCGCGGCCCCCCGGAGCTTTACCTGCGTTTTGGAGGGTCTCGATGTTCTGGGGCCGAGCGGCAAGTTCCGCGACCGTCTGCACGAACTGGGTCCGGGCCCTCTGGTACTGCTCAAACACTGCGGGGCAGAGAGGGGCAGAGTGAGCGGGGCAGCGCGCAGGGAGCCGCGGGCCGGCGAGGAGTACCCGTACCTTGCAAGACCTGCCTCTGGCTCATGGCTCCTGCCGAAGAGGCCGGAGCGGGGCGAGGGACGAGACAGCAAAGGCTCCTGGCGGTGTCTGCTGCGCCCTCCGGGATCGGGGTCCCTAGGGGTGCTCAGCCCCGCAGGCCAAGGCGCGCGGGAGCGGGAGCCGGTTGCTCCGCGCCGCTGTGTGTATCGCTCTCCTAGGTAACCGGGCGGAAGCGCCGCGCGGGGGCGGGAGAGGGCGGGGAGCCTCGGCCGCCTGATTGTGACATCAGGGCCGCCGCCTCCCGGCGGGGCTGCGTGTGCCCGGGCGGGCTGCGCGGCGAGGTGCGCGCCGGCGGAGCAGGCCCAGGGCCGCGCAGGGGAAGCGCGGTTGGCTCCGGGAAGTGTCGCCGCAGGC